GTCCTAAAGTATTCGTTTTCTAATCTCACAGCATGTTACATTTGTTTTGATGTCACAACATAATATTGTGCAAGGGATTTCGACGCCTTCTACATCGAAACTCTGTCCCTGTAAATCATACTTTGTGTGAAAAGGGTCAATAATGGTTAATCATTTTTCAAATTGAGATTTATACATAATCTGAAAGCTGAATACATAAGCTTTCCATTGATGTATGGTTTGTTAGGATAATAGGACAATATTTGGCCGAGATACAACTATTTGAAAATCTGGAATCTGAGGGTGCAAAAAAAAAAACACATTTAAAGTTGTCTAAATGAAGTTCTTAGCGATGCATATTACTAATCAACAATTAAGTTTTGATATATTTACGGTAGGAAATTTACAAAATATCTTCATGGAACTTGATCTTTACTTAATATCCTAATGATTTTTGGCATAAAAGAAAAATCTATAATTTTGACCCATACAATGTATTGTTGGCTATTGCTAAAAATATACCCCAGCGACTTAAGACTGCTTTTGTGCTCCAGGCTCACATATTTTCAATGAAAGTAGTGGAAACAAACTCCAGTGCTAGTCATGTGGTGAACCCGATTTCATTTGTCATTTGCTGCTCATATTTTTATTGAACTGCTGCGTTTGATTGCACAATGCAAATATAAGATCAGGTTTCTATGATAGTTTCTGTGTGGTTTGTTACGTGACGCTTTATTGAGTTTTATTTATTGCGTAAGTGTTGACTTAGATGAGTGCTTTTCTGCTCTGCTGATGGTGTTGAAGATGGTTGCTGATGGATCCTGACCGCATCCTTGTAAATAGTATTCAAATCATTTAATCGGAATTATAAAATGTTTGTTGAGCTGCAGAGCTTGTGCACAATCTTCAGGCCTGTGAAATAGTTGATGTCCATTCGATGTATTGTTGTCCTGCATCACATGAGATAAACTTGTATTAAGGTAGCAGACGTGAATCAGAGAACACTGGCAAAAAAACAATAATAAAGTAAAATTTACTTAATTTTTCTTTTTGCACAAACATTTTTAAAGTAACATTTACATATGGAATTAAGTAAAATCTACTTAACTAAGTTATGTAAAATTAGCAAAGGAAATAAGTAAATTTAACATGGCCAGTTAGATGAGTTTGATGAGTAATTTCTACTTCACTATTTTAAGTTTGCTCTCAATACTCAAGTACATTTCACCCAGTCACTTACTCAAACTATATAGCATTGAAAAAAAAGAAACATGCTATTAAAGCATATGGTTCACTTACAAACATGTACTGTACGTAAACAAGTAGACAGCTTGTTGTCCTTTTTAAGATAATATGTCTACTCAATTTAGTTATTACCCAAATGAATAAAGCGAGCTCAACACTTGGTACACAATACACAATGATGGACAGTGTTTGAGTATGAATGGGTCATTTTGAGTTCAGATGTCACAAAACAGCAAGTTACTAAACCTGACAACAAAAGCAACCATAAAACAGTGTAAATACAACTCGAAAGCAGTGAGAAATGTAATTGTATTAATTATTCATGCCTCAGTGCATGATGGGAACAACAGGATCATAACTTTGATATTTACTCAAACAACCAATTCCAAGTAAAATATACTTATAAGTTCAAACTTTAATTTCTACAAGCTTAAATTGAGTACTAATATAAAATGTACCCTTTCTTTTAAATTCTTGCCTGAACTAACTTATTTACTTCATCACAAAATAATTTTTTATCAGTGAAGGTCATAACTATTTTTAAAGCATGTTTGATTGTTTAATGTGATGTAAGTATTTTATTAATACATTTAATTGTTCGGCATGAATTAGCCATAATGTGTTATCATACATTCAGTGTAAAAAAAAAAAAAAAAAAAGTGATATCTACTTAAAAAAAAAAAAAAAAGAAATATGGTAACAATATTGCACATACTATTTTTGAGTAGTTTTTAAGGCTTGATTTCTTTAATGGAATCTTCCTGAATAAATCATGTGAAATCTCCTAAATGATTGAATCTATGACACAATGCTTTTAATATTATTAGTGCAATGTGCTCAATTATTTTTTTAGTTGATTTGCAAATGTCTATGATTTTGAGTAAGGCCTGTTTGGATTTGACTTTGAATTATCTTGTACAATTAAAAGACTAGACCGCTAGACAGCTCAAAAAGTAAAAAAAAACCAAACAAAATAAACGTGTAACTGCACTGGTGTTAGCAAAGCTACTGCTCATTGAGCAAAGCATCATGTCTCATTGTGTTAGTGCATGCAGCTAACCACAACCACAACCTAACCGTAAGCTCTACTCCTTTGCACAATAGTAATGACAGAAACAACAGAAACTCTTTCAAATGTCAAACATAACTGAACATTAAATATTAACAGAGGCTTCCTTCCACCGAAGAAAAAACAACAAACATAAAATATCACCTAATGTCAAAATTTACTCTCCATATCCAGCCATGTGCAAAGCATGCTGGGAACTAACAATCACCGCCAAAATAAAACTGCGTAATTGAACTAATTCTCTTAAAATATATAGTATATAATAAATAGGTAATCAATGTTTCTCCTTAATCATATCAGCTTAGTTGTGGGTAGGGCTGTGCGATATTGAAGAAAAATGCGATATGCGATAACTCATTAATTAATGCGATAGTCGATATGTGATACGATAATGCTTAAAGTGCCACATGCTCAGATTAAACAGTTTTACTCCGCTGTTGCTGAGTCAGTTCTGTGAACTTCTATAACTATCTTGTGTCATATATATATGGTTATTTGTATGTATGTATCAAGAGCTCCTGTAAAACCACAAATTCCTAAAAAAAAAAATTTGCGCACACTTTGATTCTGATTCTAATAAGAAAGCACCCCTACAACAACTTCTGAAAGTGAAGGGTAGTGTTTTACTCTAGCATTACATAAAAATGTCATTTTAACATTAGTGTAATCATTTTAACAAGTTTAGGAACTGAATAATACAAAGGAAAAATACAACACTGCTTAGTATTTACTCTATGAATTCAATATGCACTGATTCTTATTTAAGCTATAAAAGTTATTTAGGTAAGAGCAGTGAGTTATTTTCTCTTTATCTTTTGTTCATGGCCCCAAATATTGCAAGCATAGCGATATGCATATTGCGATATGTACACTTGCGATATTTCGATAATTTCGATATATTGCACAGCCCTAGTTGTGGGTTTTGGTTATTTTGCTGTTGAAGGCTGTAAGGACCTTTGAAATAACAGAAATCATTTGGCGAAGTGATATGGACATGTAATGCGGTCAAGAGCTGCCTGGAACTACATTCGCTGTGCATTTCCCTGAAAATAAGTGCACAACTTAGAACGTTCGTCAGCCAATCAGATTCAAGCATTCAACAGCCCCGTAATATAATATAATATAATATAATATAATATAATATAATATACGTATGGATGTTAATTATTTGGACAGTACTCAGTTTATTAGAAATTCTCAATTGTGACCCTGGAGCACAAAACCAGTCATAAGGGTCAATTTTTCGAAATTGAGATTTATACATCATCTGAATAAATAAGCTTTCCATTGATGTATGGTTTGTTATGATAGGACAATATTCGGCTGTAGATACAACTATTTGAAAATCTGGAATCTGAGGGTGCAAAAAATCAAAATATTGAGAAAATCATCTTTAAAGTTGTCCAAATTAAGTTTTTAGCAATGCATATTACTAATTAAGTTGTATATGTCAAAAATTAAGTTTTGATATATTTAAGGTAATACATTTACAAAATATCTTCATGGTACATGATCTTTACTTAATATCCTGATGATTTTTGGCATAAAAGAGAAATCTATAATTTTGACCCATACAATGTATTGTTGGCTATTGCTACAAATATACCTCAGCGACTTAAGACTGCTTTTGTGCTCCAGGGTCACAATGTTTCTGACGCTAATTCTTCATTCAGTTAAATTTAAACTCTAACTGTAAAGTTAGACGATTATTAAATTATTATTCATGATATCTTATGCTCTGTGATAACGGTATTGTGCTCATGAAATTCTTGGGAACTGTTGTTTTTATTACATTATAAAAAATAAATCATGCCATTGGTTAGGCGGCCAGGTGGTTTTATTGTCATTTAAAAAAAAAAATGAATGAATGATTGATATTCCATATCCCTGAAACACTGCAGTGCAAAAACATAAACATGTATGTCTTACAAATCATAACATTCAGCCAACAACCAAATAATACATTAAAGGCTAGGCAGTGTTCTTAAATGATAATGATCTGTAACTACGTTGATATAATAAATTATTTATTTGAGATGGCATATGTTCGATTTTATGGGCTGTGATAGATAATGGTTCTTTCTTGTTTTCTTTATGATTTCAGGGGAGTTTACAAACCCCAATGAGTCAGTTTTCCACTTAAATGAGAACATCAGCAATACATTGATTGAGTCATTATGCATTTAACCTGTTTAATACATCCTTGTCAATTTGATTTAAAGTCAATCGGTTGCATTTTTGGGGTTATTGGAGAGCATTGCACATTGTTGTGTGCTAATTCAGTGACCTTTTTATTTTTGCCTTTTGAACTTTTAGTCTAAGATAGGAAACAGGAAACCAGTCTGTGGTGTGTGGGTGAGCATGCATGTGTGCATGTGCTGTATCGCTCGGTCTGTGAGTGACATCGATTTAATCCAGAATCAGAACCAGATTAACTGTGTTACATTCATTGTTTCTTTATGCTCTCTTCACTCCCACTCCGACACTGACACACAAACACACTCTTTAGGGTGGAAGTATCATATAAAAAGTGAGGAAGTGAAACTTACACAACCGACAAGAGAAACACTTGCGAGGACTGTTTTTATTTTACCTTCCTGTGTCTTCTTTGGTTTTTCACCTTGTTGTAGTCTTACATATTGTCTTGTACAAACTTGGGGTGGGAGGAGAGAGATGGTGAACGTGATGTGATGTTGTGTTTCCTCAGGAGAGCAGTATGGACAGTTCAGAAATCAGAGGGCAAAGGCATGAGTGAAGATGACCTTAAAAGCAGCCAAAAGTGAGTATGCAGACACACACATTAATAGTACAGGGGTATTTGGGCAGGGCCGTTGAGATGCTTCACTTCATCTGGAACACTGTAAACAGCACTTTTTTTTTTTTTTTTTTTTGTAATCGCATATTAATTGATAGACTATGCAGAAAATATGTGATATGTTTAAATCATTTTGTCAAAAAGAGATATTGTCAAATAAATAAATAAATGTGCCACAACATTCTGTGTAAAAGTAGGCATGATAAAACCAATGATCAATTATGACAACATTTAGGAACATAGTGCAAATCATGTCTGTTGTTATTTTTATGGAACCTATTGTATATGACTATACACTAATAATAATAATAATAATAATAATTCTTATCAAAATTCGATCAATAAAGACATTTACTAGTTTAGTAGTAATACCATTGTACTGTAAAATAAAAAAATATTTTAGTTTTAGAACAGTACAATTACAATACTATTATTTAATAATGCTTATATTTATTTCATAATCAAGATGATGCCAACACTGAATCATGAACTGCAAACCGCCACGCTTCACTCTGTAACACACATACTTATTATTATTATTATTACATTAATGGTTTAATTATGTAATGTAATATTGTTATATTACTTTATGAAAATGAAATCAATGAAGAAATTTACTACTTTACTATAAATAGAAATGCACTTTAGTCAAAATTTCGAAGCACAGTTGAAGTCCAGTTTTAGAGACTTTAACATTAATGTGACGCAATATATTATGTATGAGAAAACAGCTTAAAAACTAAATTTACGAATATAGCGCAAGTCATGCCTGTTGTTTTATGGAACCTATTCTATATGACCATACAACAACAACAATAATATTATTGATAATTTTATTTTACAATAGTAAAATTAGTACTGCTATTTATGGCTGTCTTAATTTCTTTGCTATACAAATAATAATAATAATAATAATAATAATAATAATAGTTGTTTTTATTGTTATATTAAATTGTAAAAAAAAAAATCATGAAGGAAATGTATTACTTTAGCAGTACTGTACTGTAAAATAAAAATGCAGGATTTAAAAAAAAATATATATTTTATAACACTTATATTTAGTAATATTTATGTTTATTTCTTTGCTTTCTTTTTGGCGGGAACAGCGCAGGGAGACCTTAAGCTCCACATTTGTTGACAATAGATTTGTGAACTATTTTCATTACTAGATGGCCAGCACATCATGCTGCATTTTCAAATACATTACAGTGCCCAAACTCACTGCAGGAGATGTGTGATGAGTGATTGTGGAACAGCATTTACTGTGAATTATTATGGGTTTTACTATTACACAATAACAATACAAATTTAATACAGCTTCAAATTATGTTTTCTCCTTGTACATTAGAATGTGTCCTGTTATTTAGTTTTATTATTATTATTATTATTATTTTATTTTTTTTTAGGGATAAAAAAATGATGTCTATAATACATTTTTACCCTGAATTACAGGAGACATGCACTCACTAAAATGTCATTCAGTGTAACAATAGTTCATACACCAAAAAAATGTTGTCATGCATATTTAGAACAAGAAACATTCAATGACATCAAAAGACTCTATTTAAGGATCACAGCACAGCCCCCAAATACTAATTAATTGTCATTTGAAATCTGTACTTGTCTTTGCCATTATCCTTCACACTACATTTTACTTATTTGTCAGCAAAACATTTTTAATAATTTAAAATATAATAAAGTGTATTATGTATGTAAAATGTATTATATTATTACATTTTCCTTTAGATATTTTAATAAGTACATGTCAGAAAAAGAATGTCATTTCGTTTTTGCATAAATATATCTGTTACACTGAATGATGACGGAACATTATTTAACCCATATTTTGACATTTTATTTTCACAAAGGTTATTGAAATATTAAAGTAGATGCTTTACTTGCATTGTATATGCTTTCTATGTATATGTATATTATGTATATTAAGTTGTAAAATATATATATATTTTGCTGTCAAATGTAGTGTGTTAACGCATGCAATGTATTTTTTTTCAGTTTAACGTGTTAAAGATATTTATCACAATTAACACAGTGGTGGAGCTATGGTTAGCCACCCCACTCACAACTGCTGCTTTTTGACAAGAATTGCATTTATTAAGACGCGGAAACATCTTTGCAACCACATCGAACGGGAGACTTTTCAGACGCGCACTCTAACTTCACCTCATCACCAGACGCTAGTCAAACAAATGCAGAAAATGTACAGGTGATGAGTAAGCTTCAGTAGAACATCAGTAAACTGTGGTCAGATGAGATGTTGTCAGGCCATATGTCAGTAAAAACTAAGTTTCCTGTCCTGACAGTCGTTATACTCTGCTCGTAGCACATGCTCTTCAATTGAGTGCACAATATTAAAAAACAAATGAAACTACAAGCATGCAATGTCGTAGTTATGTCATCTGTTAAGTCATGAAGTTACCCAAAAGGTGATTAAAGCTGCCTTAAAACTGTGCATGCATGTAAGTATTTATTATAAACGAGTCACATTTAAGAACATGTCTCTGAAATGCAGGGCTTTTCAAAACTGTCCTGGAGCAGCCCAGCACTGCCTTGCTCATCTAACACACCCGAATCAACTCGTCAGCTCCTTAGTAGAGACTTTAAGACTTGAAGCATGCCAGTAAAGGTAAAGAGTTGTGAGAAAATACATGTCAGATCCACGTCACGTTCAGCAGCGGCATCTCTTAAAGTAATAGCAGCCAAATAACCTTATAACAAGCTGCTGTGACGTCTGTTAATCAAAGAACAAAAGAAACAAAGAGGAAATCAATAACTTTTGTAGCTTTCAGAATTCATCTATATTTAATTTAGAATTTAGTGTTTGATAAATCTATTTAATTTCTGTATATTTCCTACTTGCTGAAGGGTACAGGTAAAATATGACATTTATTATAATGGGTTTATGTGAAGATTGATTTAAGAAGAATTAGAAGTTGTTATTTTTTAAAGTCTAATAAATGTTAAAATTGATAGCTCGGAATTATACTGTAATGTCGAATGGCTATAGTCAATGGTTAAATATTAGGAAAAAGAAAACAATTTCATATACTGGCCTTCAGTCATAAAAAATATGTCATTAAACAAATATTTAAAATATACTGTATGTTGTTTCTACATTAATTTGAAGATTGAATGTGAAATTATTGCAATATAAATGTACAGTATATTTAAAAACTTGAATGTTAGGTGAGATTAATCGTGATTATTATTATTTTTTTTTAAAACCTCAGAAGTTTCTATTTAGAATTATGTTTTCGGGGCATTGAGCTCTGTAGCCAATCACAGACACAGCTATTGATTTCTTGAACTTTCTGATCTTCTTTCGCGTTCAAGTTCAAGTCAAATTCATTCACTGCTCAAAAATCCAGATTTTTTTCTTGACTCATGATTCATGAATCCTCTCAACATCAAACAGTGTGTAGACACGATGTCGAAAGCTTTATTGATTATATTATAACAGAACATGTAATCGAGAGCGAGATTGAGAAATGTGGAGTTAATTTTCAAAATTGCAGTGATTGATATAGGGATAACCATAGCAATGGACGAGAATTTCTGAATTTATGTAAATGGTAAAAATTAGGGAGAATCAAATTATAAAAAAATTTATTGCTATTGTGTTAATATGTAATCATGTGAGCAATAGAAAATAACTAATCTGATTATGAGTATTTTAAAGTGTAATATAATCTAATTACAAGTACTTATTTTTTGGAATCTGATTACATAATTAGGATTACATGTAATCAGTTACAACACAGCACTGCTCACATATTACATTTGCATTTTACTAGAGCATCCTCACTAATTTCAGAAGCTCCTTTGGTTAGGACAGGGTTAACACTGCTTCTGCGGTGTTACTGTTAACCCCTGCATTGCGGAACCAAACTTCTGCAGTCAAGTCACCTTTATTTATATAGCACTTTTAACAATACAGATTGTGTCAAAGCAACTTTACAGTATTAAATAGCAAAATAGTGTGTCAATAATGCAAAATGACAAAAGTAAACACTCAATTTTCAGTTAAAGGCAGTTCATCATTGAATTCAGTGATGTCATCATACAGCTCAGTTCAGTTTAAATAGTATCTGTGCAATCAAGTCGACGATATCGCTGGAAATTAAGTGTCCCCAACTAAGCAAGCCAGAGGCGACAGCGGCAAGGAACCAAAACTCCATAGCTGACAGAATGGAGAAAAAAACTATGGGAGAAACCAGGCTCAGTCGGGGGGCCAGTTCTCCTCTGGCCGGATGAGCCAGCAGTTCAATTCCAGGCTGCAGCAAAGTCACATTGTGCAGAGGACTCAACTGGTTCCTGTGGTCTTGTGTGAAACAGTGTGAAACTATGTGATGTTAGAACATTACATCTAGATGCTAGGCAACAGTCACCCAATCGCCTGCATCATATTCACGTGCTTTGGACAGTCACGGAAACATAGAGCATTGTATAAACATCGTTTCATCGTTTGAGTGGAAGAAATGTCAAATGGTGACAGATTCATCCTTACCGTCTGAAAGGCCATTCTGGAAAACTTGATAGTGCAGTCGGAAATATATAACATCAGGATGCACAACTCTAGAGCTGTTATGTATGTACAGTATATATTCCAATCAATGTCCCAGCAAATATGCAAATAAGAACATTAACCTGAGATGAGTGTGAAACGTCAGATTACGAATACCCAGGATTAATTGTTAACACCGGGTAAATTATGAGCAGTGTGAAACGTGAAGATAACCCAGGATTCCCTTTACCTGGTTGGCAGCCCAGTGCCAGTTTTAGCAATCTTACAATATATGTATTTTAATTAATTATAGTCTCTCTCTATTTCTTGTTCTCTTTTAGCATGGTTTTTAAGACTCCTCCCGGTTGTGCTCTTCTTCATCTGCTACTATTGCTCCCAGTTCTACTTTGAGAGGTTAGTGCCGTTACCTGCTCTGCATGGTATCGAACACATTATGTTTTCATTGGTTATTTTGATTTTTTTGTTCTTCTCAGGCTGAGACATGCAAAAGCTTTCAAGGTGTACTTATGCTAACTACTGATTTGTTATTTTCTTTAAGCTATGGAGGCAGCAGAAAGTCCCCTCAGCCCACTGTTTCTCTATGTCACAACTATCGCTTGCAGAGGAAGTGGGAGAGTCTAAAATTAAAGTATGTGAACTCATATTCACATGTATAACCTGTTTTGGGGAAACTGTAGCTTACCGAGCTTGAAAATTGGAAATTAAGATTCTGTCATCATTTACTCACTCTCATGTCGTTCCAAACCTGTATGACTTTCTTTTTATTGTTTGTTTCTGTGGGACACAGGATAAGATGAAATACATTTTTAATAGCATTAACATGTGTAAGCTTGTCAGTCTTTTTTTTTTTTTTTTTATGGAACACAGTATGGAAAGGGGCGTAACATTTCCGTCACACGCTTTAGGTATTCAGCCAATCACAACACACTGGATAGCTGGCCAATCAGAGCACACCTCGCTTTTCAGAACGATGAGC